TATATATATATATATATGTACACATATATACACGAATATATATATATATTGCAATCATTATCACACCTGATAAAGTCTACGTTTACGTAAGTTCTATATAGCGAACACATTACGCTCTTGTAGAGCTATGGAATATTAAATTCATTATTCCTTAATAGAATGTTAACGCAGACCTTGTTCAGGCTGTAAAGCTTGATATCTGCCTGGTATCATTCTCTTCTCTTAATAACCTACGCATCAATAAAAGATAAACTAAATTTATGCTAACGCTTTGCTCTTTTTTTTCTTCAACATATTGAATTCTTAAAACAGGCATGCTGGCCTTTTATTTTGCGCTTTGTCTGCTTTTCGCACAATAGAAATTCTTATACTAAAAGTTTGGTTTACCACGGCAAAAACTCATAATGAGATCTCTTTAAGAATTATTTTTGATGCCGTCATAATTACAGCTAGTATTTTTTTCATGCAGCTGAAAAACAAAATACCTTAATATTCTATTTTCTCTTCTTGAGACTTCGATTCATAACCTTGTAATTTGAATTATATAAATATTTTAGTAACATAAAAATTTGGCCACAAAAAATAGACGCCGAACAATTTGGGCAATAATCAAACCTATCTCGATGACACACATGAAATGCAACAGATGCAGGATAAAAAAGAATATATAAACAATGAATAAAATAAACGAGAAAATTATATATATTATACAAGAAAAATAATAGACTCAAATTTATTATACATTCGGAAATATTTCAACAAGAATATGATAAATTAATTTTGATAATTGACGAAAATAAAGCTTAAGAGTAGAAAAAAATTTGAAATTCATTATCATATCATTATTATTATTTTCTATCAATTTCGTATTTTTTTCATATTTGGCTATCATCAATAAAGTGATATGAAACAATCATTTCATTGATTGACAAACGTCCAAAGAATTAATTGCAAACAATTACGACACAATAAAAACAATATTTCTAATAAGCAACTCGATGAATTTTTGTTTAATGTGAAAACGAAACATTTTGCACTCATATCTTCTTCTATTCTGACACAAATTATCTATCAATTTTCGGACAACACAAAAATATTTTTTATTTTATTTTCGAAAAATTCGAGATTTTTCACATGTGTGAGGAAAACATTAAATTATCAACAATATTGATTGATAGATAATATTAGAATGCTTCTCAGTCGTTACAAATTTTGATACATATATCGAATATATGTATTAACATTTAAAGACTTAACGTTTCGGATGTCACATATCTGGCTAAAAAAATTCCTCGTAAATTGATCGACAAAATGACAGTCTCATATACAAATTCTTGCACGTAATGTCAGACCGATCATTGTGTTGTATTGTGTTTTGTGTGTGTGTGTGTGTGTGTGTGTTTGTGTGTGTGTGTGTGTGTGTGTGTGTGGGGGCACTTTAAACAGTAGTTGTTAAGACACGTTCGTGTGCTCTCACTAATTTTGTGTCGATAAACAAAAAATACATAATTTCATATACATATATACATTTATACTGTACAAGATTTCGAGATCCAAATGTCATGAAATCGCATACAAAAAAAATAAAACTTTTACAGCGTAAATACAATTAATTAATTTGCCAATACACGCAAAATAAATATCCCATAAATATATTATGTGCGTGCAAGACTAAAAATACATCATTTTATGCATCAGATATACGCACTCTACATAGTTATTAATGAGATTAAGTAATTTTGAATGTTATATATAAATCGAGATTTGCAGTAAAAGCTGCAGGAGACACATACGAACGTGCTTATCTGGCAGTATGAACCACTACCGTTTCCCTCAAATGATTACACATAACCAGGAGTTATGTAGGGGAGCTGAGCTATTAGTCATTAATCAGGTCGATTAATTAACAGGGAACGAGGGAGTAAAGCTACCGTACGCGTCGCGCGCCGTTACAGTGTAGTACGCATACGTTTGTGCGTGGGTGATCCCATATCCACGTCATGCGAAGCAGGCCGTTTATGATGCCGAGCCAATTCGTTGCTAATAAAAGCCGACAGTTCGGCTTGTCTTCCGCCACGTCGAGACACTGGAGAACCTGAAAAAATTTTACGTTTCTTTCTTATTTTATGGGCACATTATATCTACATAAAACCCTTAATTTCTATCCATGTGTTGTCGTATGTTAATGTGAGTGTCAAATGTGCATCTCTATGGTTACTCCATCATGTGATTATCTCAATTAAATTGTCTTCAAACGCGTGCATTTGACACGTGCGTGGAAACCAGAAGAAATTAAAATAATAAAAATATTGTGAAAAATAAAAAATTAAAAGTTTTTATATATCCCATTTAAATCTATGTTCTTCGCGTGATTCAATTTCTTTGTTTCAATGAAATATGATTAAAATACTTAAAGAAATGCCACTAGTCAATAAGTAATATAGCATTGATTAAAAAGAGTAAAAAGAGTAAAATTTGTAAAAAGGTAAATTATAGGATAACTTACCCGACAATGCTTCTCTAAATGTGTGCAACTCAGGATCTGGATCAGTGCCTGTTGTCGGCGCAGGAGCAATCATCATACTCGGCGTTTGACTTTGCGACGACGGAGAACCGCATACCATCATACGCGGTTTAGGTGAACTTCTGCAACACATTGCCAACCTTTAATAAATAATCAGCTTATTTTATTTATTAATTTATTAATTTATTTGTTTACTTTTTAATTCAATTTAACGAAACATATTATCTATATTTATAAATATATATCTATAATATAAATATATATCTATAAATATATATCAAAATTAAAATCCACAATAATAATCTAGATTAATAACTTTTTTAGAAACTACAGTAAAGGGGTAAACCTGTGTGGATGCGAACGAGGTGGAGGTGGTTTTCCAGCGAGATATGCAAGAAGATCTTCCCTGCGAATCATACGTCTTTTTTTCCTAGCCCAATTCATTATTTCTTTACAACGTTTCTGCTTGCCCATTTCCACTCCCAAATCGCTACATCGCCTCATACAATCCACTGAATCTATTTAAATAATTCTTGATTAATTTTACAGACAAATATAGCGACATGCATGCATTAATTACAAAATTTAACATAATACAATCCATACGAGTAATCAAATTATTTTACTATGTTAAATTTTATATCTAAATTATGTAATCATTAGTAGGTTCTAGAAAAGCTGTCATCAATAGGAAATAATTAAGTGCATTCCTCATACAAATCTCATTATGTATCTAATTGTGAGAAATAGATTTATAAAAATACATTCAATAAAAAAATTAAAAATGTTAAATTGCACTTCGCATAATGGTACAAATTTGCATGAATGTGTCTTTTCTCAAATTTTCTATAAACGTATTAAATTTTCAATAAAATGGTAGAAATGAAAACTAAACTTAAAAACTTAAATTACTTTACAATTATCAAATTCCTAGTGTAAAATCAAGTCGCATTGATGTCGATGTACGAAGCTATCATCAATGGAGAAAAGCTGTCATCAATAGGAAATAATTAAGTGCATTCCTCATACAAATCTCATTATGTATCTAATTGTGAGAAATAGATTTATAAAAATACATTCAATAAAAAAATTAAAAAGTAGAAACAGTACAACACTATACAAAATAATATACAAAATAATGTACAAATAAATAATTCATTCATTCATTATCCGCTTTGTCAAATTTACTACTACTAGATAGGTCGCGGATATTTGCCATTTTAAAAAGTAAGTGATAATCTATAAATTTTTTATGGAAGCCTTAATATATAATGTATAAATAAAAATAATAAAAGATACAGAAGAAAAAATTTCTTTTTAATTTTTAGAAAAAAACTTTTTTTAGAGAAAAATCAAAAATAACAAAGATAACGTGAAAAATGGAAAATTACATAACCATTCTGATGAAGAAAGAACATGCTTTTATATTGTCGCAATGCAAATTTTTTTTTACAGTTATCTCTACCGTCATTGATAACATGAATAATTGTACATTTTCAAGAGCGTTATCAAAGTAGCCATTTATCATCAATAATTCCAATGTTCTGGCTATGAAATTGGCCTAATTTCTCTCATCTGTCTTCAATTAAAATTTTTGCACGATACATGTTATCAAAAGCATGTTCTTATTTTATTATAACATTACAAATAATAAAGCAGTTCTGATATTCATTAATTAACGAATATTCATTAATTAACGGATTTTTTGACATTATTTTTATCATATATCTCAGTATACGATTCTTTTTTACAAAAAGACTATTCCGTTACGTTTTGATATTAATCGATAATGCTTTTTCTCATTTTTACGAGGATATAATATGTGAAGCACGCCATGTACACAATATTCCTAGAATGTTACATAAATATTATTTATTACCTTTTTATTATTTATTACCTTTTTATAAATTATTAATATTCATGTAACATTCTAAAAATATTGTGTCTTATAGGGTTATTGATTGCAAACCTAAATTTAAAAAATGTTATTTTAACCGATACGTAGAACTGGAGCAATTCTATTTGGATTAAATACTCGCTTATGTATTATAAATCAAATTATGCAAAGTATTTATTCAGTTATTCAGACGTAATATATCAAAAATCATCGTCAACAAATTGAACAATTAATTATTTAACACACAAAACAAGTAATGAGAAAAATAAATCATAAGTACAGTTTTCAATCCATTTGAGTAACTCATCATAGTTTTTAATTCATTCGAGAGCTATAAGGAATCTTTCCTATAGATTTTCTATTAACCCATACTCGTGAACTCAATAGCTTACAATTAAGTCATTAAAGAAATATAAGTTAAATTTTTCCCAAGGTCTATTTTCTATGATATGCATGCGCATTAATCTATGCATTGTGTAACAAAATTAGTGTTGAAGTAGAGGCAAGAGAGAACAGATAGAGACAGATAGATAAATAGATAGATAGATAGATAGATAGATAGATAGATAGATAGATAGATAGATAGATAGATAGATAGATGGAGCATTTATTACGATTCTAGAGCGGACTCTCAAAGTTATACACACGGTGTTATAACAATGAAGAGAAGATAAAATAACAAAAATTATCTATATATATAAAAATAAAAAAAAAAGTAAAATAAAAGTACGAAATAAAGTTTAAATAAAATAACAAGAAAGAAATCAAAAGAAAAGAAAATATATATAAGGAATCATAATTAAAAATAAAATTAAAAGCAAAATTATATTAAATGAAAAAATTTGGAATGGGAAGGGAGGAGGGAGGGAAGAGGGGGGGGAGAGGGATTGACATTCTCCATGTCATGTTAATATCATATTTAGTCAAATAAACAGCTGACCTTGAATGATCAGCTTATGGAAAGAGCTGTTTTCATCCATAATGATGGTGACACATTTTATCTTTTTGCTGGTAGAATAGAGAGATAAACAGAAGCGCAAGTGAAGACAGTAGGAACAAAGATTAACCGTGGAGAGGAAAATGACGCTCTGCAGCACGAGGAGTGAAGAGAGAGAGATGGCGATGCAAGAAGGAAGGGGAAGAAAGCAAGGAGAGGTTGTTTTATCTAGCGGTCATTGTTGACAACAATTCACTGATTCACCCACATCGTACACATCGCAAGAACACACACCTTTGTACAATGATGTGACGGTACCTGCGGCCGTCTGAAAGGGCACCCATAGTGAGACACCCAATGTGCGGTCTGCAAGAGAATAAGAGAATAATAAATCAGAGGAGGTTAAACGGATCCGATCGATAATTGTAAAAATGAGCACACATTACGAGAACGACTCAATGACGCAAAACGTCTGCTGTAACGTTGCTGCGCAAACGGAAAGTAATATCGTTCTTATAACGGCGCGACAAAATGGATGTTACGCGAGACGGACGGAATTCACATTAGGGGGAGGGAGCGACCTTGGGGGGGATCACTGTAGCAAACGAGCAAGAAAAAAAAAGAGAGGAAAGATAAAGGGACGAAGTCACGCGAAGGATATCTCGCGAGAGCATCGAGGGGATCACCTTTGTACAACTGGGCGATGGCCGAAGCGGTGGTCTGAAACTTCGTCCACATCTGCTGTGAGTAGAGCTCCTTCTCGTTATGCAGCTGATTCTCATAATCGGGTTCGGACTCGAGTGCCTCAACGCACTGCTGCTCCCAGTTGCTGTACCAATTGAAGCTGTCCATGAGCGGCTCATCCTCGCTCCTGTCGTCGCTCATCGCTGCCAATCCGCACGATCGACGCACCGCTGCTGCCTCGGAGTGCAACCTCACGCACGCACTCCCGCACACCACGCGCGGCGCACACCACAGATACACGGGAGAGAGAGAGAGGGGGGGAGAGGGAGAGAGAGAGAGAGAGAGAGAGAGAGAGAGAGAGAGAGAGAGCGCACGCGCGCAAGCGAGCGAGCGAGCAGAGCGAGTGCCCGTCGCGAAGATATACCTCGACAGAGCGTGCGGAGAACCAGAGCGAGAAAACACGCCTCGCCCACCCACTCGCGATACTCACGCACGAATGTATGCGATATCACGCACACAACTCCCGCAAGACTAGCCTCTCGCTGTCTTGAGAACGAACAAGCGCAGCTGAAACTTCGATGACGATGACAATGATGACGTTATTAATCGCGCTTCGTATCGTATTCTATCCAACCACCTCTCTCTTTCGCACTCGCTCTCGCCTCTCCACGTCGCCTCACGTAGGCCTTCGTCTGCAAATCAAGTCGCGGACATTACGATATTTACGACCACCTCTCGTCGAAGGCACACTCGCGGATATCAATGGAACATTTAAGTACGTCATACGATCATTCGAGAGAGAGGTCCAGATACTTCAGATTAATATCAAATAGACGGCTCTTCTCGCAAAGCAACAAACAGTAGTACCATCACTGCACTATTACCAATTCCTACCAACAAAACAGAAGAAACTAAAACCTGTATCATGAGGTCTCTTCGCATTGCATGAAATCTCCAAATATTTTTGCACTTAAAATGAGATAGATATATATTTGGCTTTGAAAAGAGAAAAAGCGAAGATGCCCAGTGCAAAAAGTGCGAGCAACGAGATTATGTATCCTGAAGTGAAAATTACAAAAGTGAACAAATTCACTAGAGTATTCATAATTTAATTGGTCAATATTTAGTAATCATTGCTCACTTTTGTTAATTTTCACCTCATTTCAAAATACACAATCGAGCCCCAGAGAATCGATTGTGGATTTTTAAAGATATTTCATTTTTAGATACACAATCGACTCCCAAATCTAGGAATTGATTCTGTATCTTACAAAAGCGAGCAAATTTACTAGGTGTTGACCAATGAAATAATCAGTATTCTAGTAAATTCGCTTTTATAATTTTCACCTTATTCGAAGATACAGAATCGATCCCTATGCTGGATTTACACTGAATTCGATATGCGTCATACGACACTCTGCAATCAATCAAAAAACAGGATTTTGCTTCGTATTGTATACTTATAATTCTGTAATGTTAAAAATATAAATGTCAAAAACCAAGAAGTTAATATTTAATCATTGCCTCAGTTCAATCTTTATTGACTTATTGAATAAATTTGTATACTAAACATAAAGAAAAATTGATTTATTCTAAACATTAAATTTTTAATTAGAAATCAAATTATTAATGACTTTTTGATATACAAAATAAAATTCAAATTTGAAAAAAATATTTAAATTAAATATTTGTCAAATTTGTTAAATCAATAAACAATTTTTGTAACATATGCATATTTTGCATAAATTACATATTTACAGATGGCAATCTCAACCTTTTTATTTCAGTTTTTAATAATTCTTTAACAATGATTGATTGCTAAAACTGTTCAATAGTTAATATTCAGTTAATATTCAGCAACGATGGATTTCGGAACTCAGCCTTAAGATATCTTTTCATACTGATGTTCAATGCTCATTTTCAGTCACATGGTCAAATTGACGATTGGCATTTGTCAATTTCTATTCATGTGACTTATTTTGGATGGTATCATAGTTCTTATTTCAAAAACTGTCTTAAGTAATCTTGACACTAATATGGCCTTCTAATTGGTTACTTCTTAAGATTGTACTTAAGAAGGTCTTAAATATAAGATCTGACTATAAATACCGCTCTTTGATGTCGAAAATGAACGTCAGCATGAAGCATCATTACTCATAGGCTGGTATTCATAATCGGTTCTTAATTTAAAACCGTCTTAAGTAATGTCTTAAGTCGTTAATGCAGCCTTTTAATTGATTCATGACACCTTAAAACTGTCTTAAATATAAGATCCAACTATGAATACCGGCCATAGAGCGGTTGAACATAAAAGCTTGTATTCAGAACGCACTTACAACGATGTTAGCGCGTTAACATGCTATAATTGACGTTACGCATATTATAGAATTTTAGAGATAAAAGCGCGTTCTGAATATGGGCCAAAGCCTTGTATCCACGATGCTAGAAATCGGTCCGAGATCTCATGAAGTAGAATCCTAGATATATAAGTACGGTAGATATATAATAACGGATCTACAATGGGTTTTAAGCTTTAAGTTTTAAGAAATTGAACCAATTAAAATAGATTTTTATACTTTAAATCATAAGGAATGGACGAATCACAGTCAATTATTCTTCTTGCATTAGACTGTAGTTGGTCGATTTCTTAGCCCTACAATAGATTTTTAAGCCATTGGCTTCTGCACACTGGACTAAACGCGGAAACGCGTTGCAGAAATTATCACACTAACCAATAATTCTATGTTCTTAAGTCGGCCTCACCATGCAAAATTTCTAGAAATGATATAATATTATTTCCAAAAGTTAGATTGAGTTCAACTTTTGTCGCGCGGTAGAAATTATATATCTATTACTTCCGAGCAAGCAAGACGTTGATTGGCTATCGCGCCAGCTCCCGTCGCGCGACAAGCGTTGTCGCGTTCTAGGTGCAGGAGCCATTAAGAAATGGACGAATCACAATCAATTATTCTCTTCGCATTCGATTGTAATTGGTCAATTTCTTACGGTTTAAAGCTTAAAACATCCATTGTAGATACGAATTAATAGGTGCATTCATACTATGGCCGCTCAGCGAGCGGTCACAGTAGTCGTAATACTGAATGCATCTATTTGTTTAATTCGTTGAATGCGCCCATTGGGTTCAACAGACTCAAGAGTTAAGTGAGCACTCGCTGCTATTGATGTATTCTTCTAGATCTAAAATTCTAATTGAATGATCTAGAAGAATATACCAATAACGGCATACGCTCACATATTGTTGAATCCGCTAAATGCGTCCATGTGCTCCCCGAGTAATGTTGAAAAAAGTTTTACAGTTTGAAATCTCATTTTTCAAATACATCAAATTCTATAAAGCTGCACCGATTTCACTATAAACTATATTACTTTAAAGTGAATCTTGAAAAATAGAAAAAGAAATTATTTCAACTTTAATGACATGTACGAATAAATTATAATCATATTCCGATATATATGTACGCTACCAATACTAATATAATCTACAGTTATTAATATATATATGTATGTATGTACAATAATATAAATATATAGGGTGCGTTCCGGTATCTACTGCCAGTGCTGAAAATCTATAGCGCATGTAGCGTAAACTGTATAGCACTGGCAGTGAATGTCGGAACGCATCATAATATATTACGTTAACTATGGAATTTCATCAAGGTACATCGACCTTTATGCAACAATAAGAACATTAATAAACTTTTTGATAATTGAATCCCTTCTTATTACAGCTAAAACATACCATGTAAAGGAAAGATTGTGTTCTCCTTTAGCATTTAATATACATTTAAAAATCAATAGTTCATGCGTGTTACAAAGTATATTGGAATCAATTGCTTAAGCTACAAATCTCGTTTACAATATAATTGTAAAAATTCACATTTTAATCACATGCATTGTATATGTATGTGTAAAGACTATAGAGATTTATTTTTACGAAAGCGTACATATTTACAAATGCTTTGCATAAATGTTGCTGCACATAGAATTACAAGATGCTTCGTTTCACTATATTGAAGACGAAATAGAGCACTTTTTTTTTAATAAATGAAAATCATGTATTCTGCCATAATACATATAACTAAACGCACAGCATAAATAATATATGTATAAATTATAAATAAATAAGTTCTAAAAACGATTTAAAACTTTACGTTTGACTTTTGATTTGAAAAGACATTATTTACATTTTTTAAAAGAATCTTGAAATGTACTAACTTTTTTTTTACTTTTATCATATCATACAGTCTTTGCAGAATTCATGTTTCTAATTGTATATTAACACAACCATGTGTATATCTATCAAAACAAAGTTACATTAAATTCATTAAAGCAAAAACAAATTGAAACGGTTTTTGCACTATATCATGGTCTTAAATGATTAGAAATATCTCCCTAAAATGACTCCCTAAATAATGATAGAAATTATGAATTACTATTCGAAATAGTTACGAATTATGCTGCAATACATTTTGTTATCGTGCCGAGTGTGCCATCATTTCGTATTATAATAAAATTATTCGATATATAACGTTCTCAAAAGCTTCTTTAAATTAAGTTCAAAACGTTTTACGATGAATAGCCCGTATGCCATCTTCATCAAATTCTCTTTTGCTCACCCACATCTTCTTGAAAGTGTCTAAAGAAGCCAAAATAGAACCTCCGATCCAAGTACTATATAATCGTTCCTGAGGCGCTGATATCTGTTGTAACAGAAATAAATTCATAATTTTATCTGTGAAAATTGTTTACTTATTATTTAGTTTGTCTTACCCTTTCCACTTACCCTTATTTTAATGTCTTTTGGCGACATCCTACGAATCTCTGATAATAATCTGTCACCGAAACCCTGAATAATAAATACGAGATTCTATTATATTATTGTTATATTACTGCAATAATTTTTTTTTAACATAAAGATAAGAATACAAAAAATTTATTCTTCTAGATTTTTTTCTTTATTTTATATATATTGATTTTTGTGCTTACGCGGAATAATGTCGAGCCTCCCGATAATACGATATTTTGGAATAGAACTTTTCTCAAATCCAAATCGGACTTTTGAATAGAATACGTTAATACTTCATGAAGGCCTTCACATTCTTCACCTATTAAATCTGGTCTAAACAGCACTTCAGGAGCTCTAAATCGTGCTGGACCGATCTAGTATTGAATGAAATGTAATATACATAAGAACAGTTTAAATTTGCTATTTCAAAGTTATGTATGACTAATCCTTGTTTCCATTAATGTAAATTAACTTTAATCTAAACTCGAACGCGAGTATAGCATAGCAGACAACGCACTGGTCTATCATGCCAGAGGTCCCAGGTTCGATCCCCAGTAGGAACCAGTAAGTCTCAGTAGGAACCAAAATATTTATGCTCATGTCTCCTCTCGGAAAAAACTAGCAACCTCCCGAGAGTATCCTTACCCACAAAAATACCTCTAAAAAATATCTCGAAAAATCTGCCATTTAAAACTGTTTAAAACATTAAAACTGTAAGTCCCATATGTTTGTAGCAATTGAATAATCAGTGTGCGCATCACAAATATATGAGAAAGGTGTAAAAGACTGTGCTCAATATTCTTATAATACTGCAAGCATCTGTCACGCATTATACAAAATAAAAGAGTTAAATTTAAAATTACATCTACCCTCCCATTGCCCATTGCCCCCCCCCCCCTTGACTAAATTAGTGTATATATTAATATTTCAAACAATGAGGTGGATAAATGTAGTTTTAAATTTATCTTACATAATGCTCGCAGTACTTTAAGAATTGCGTACAGTAAAATATATGTGGATAAGCATCAGATTCTGTAGACTAAGTTATCGGTATTGAATCTATCATAGATACATATGTAATTCAACATCATA